AAAGGGAGGCTTTTCTTTTTTTTTTTTTTTTTTTAGCAAACAAAATAAAATTTTCCTAATAGAACTGAAAAAAGAAATAAATTATCAGTAATTTTTTATTTTTTAATAATTAAATTTATATTAAAAATTATTTATTTTATATTTTTTTATATAATAAAGGGCCTGAACAAAATTGAATAAAAGCTATACTATGCAAAGATACTTCCTCTCCACTATAAATAGAAACCCCCATTCATACCAAACCTTTCAAGCATCATCCCAATAAACAAACCCACACAAAATCAAACGCAGAGAGAGCCAATCCAAGCCAACACCTACCCACCTAATCCTTTTATTCCTCTTCTTCTTTTTTTTTTTTTTTTTCCTTCCTTTTTTTAAAAATTTTTTTTATCTTATTTCTCTGTTTAGATTCTAAGCAAAAAAAAAACAAACAAACTCGAGGCTCTGTGTTTGGTCAAATATGGGAAACATCATCTTAGAAGCTCTGAATGTTCGGGTTGTCGGGTCGGGCGAGAGGACCCTTGTCCTCGCCCATGGGATCGGGACGGACCAGTCGGTGTGGCAGCGCATTTTGCCCTACTTCACCCCCAGCTACCGCGTCATCCTATACGACCTCGTCTGCGCCGGCAGCGTCAACCCCGATTACTTCGATTTCCGGCGATACAGTACCCTCGACGCCTTCGTCGACGACCTCCTCGCCATCGTCGACGCCCTCAACGTCGATCGCTGCTTCTACGTCGGCCACTCCGTCTCCGCCATGACCGGGATCCTCGCCGCCATTCGCCGGCCCGAACTCTTCTCCAAGCTCGTCCTCGTCGGCGCATCCCCTAGGTATCAATTAAATTAGCTAAATAAAAAGAAATTCAATTTCGCAAAATTCGCGTGGTTTTGTGTCTAACTGAGGTGGGATTTTGGGGGAGATTAGGTTCCTGAACGACAAGGACTACCACGGAGGGTTCGAGCATGGGGAGATCGAGAAGGTGTTCTCGGCAATGGAGGCGAATTACGAGGCGTGGGTGAGCGGGTTCGCGCCGCTGGCAGTGGGGGCGGATGTGCCGGCGGCAGTGAGGGAATTCAGCCGGACGCTGTTCAACATGAGGCCGGACATCACGCTGTTCGTGTCGCGGACGGTTTTCAACAGCGATCTGAGAGGGGTTTTGGGGCTGGTGAAGGTCCCCTGTTGCGTAATGCAAACGGCAAGGGACGTGTCCGTTCCGGCGTCGGTCGCCGGTTACCTGAGGGACCATTTGGGCGGCCGGAACACGGTGGAGATGCTCGAGACGGAGGGCCATTTGCCGCACTTGAGTGCGCCGGCGCTCTTCGCTCAGAAGCTCCGCCGAGCCCTGGCGCGGTGAGTTTTTTTTTCTTTTAATAATATTAGTCTTTCTGACAAAAAAAAAGAAAATTAAAAAAATGTCATAAGGGTGTAGCTGGAGATAATGACACCTGGCGAATAAATATGTGGATTGTGTGGGTATTTGGACTTTGGATTATCCAAATCCGCTATAGGATAAGAATCTCCACGTGATCATCACGTGATGACGTAGCCTCTTTGACTTTGTCCTCTTTTTTCTTTTTTTTTTCTCGTTTGTTTTTTTTTGGCTAATTGTACTAAAAATTTTGGTTCTGGGGCTATTGGTGGAAAATGGAGTTGCTCGTTTGTTTTTTCTTTTTAATTTGAAAATATATATTTATAGTTGCAAAATGGACGTTTTTTGCTAGTTTGCAAAATGAACGTTGACAAATGATACATGCATCTAGAATAAGTAGTTATTATTATTGTTTCTTCTTTTGTGAGATGAGTAGTTATTTTTTCAGTTGTTTTCTTTGTTCGTTAATGAATTCCAAGCTTATTGGAAAAAAAAAAAAAAAAGTAACGTTGGAAAATTATTTTAGTTGATACTTTTTTTTTTTTTTTTGGTCTAGACAGATTTGTTTATGAAAAATTTTGGGTGGTTACTTTACGCTACGCCAATTTGCCACAAATAATCCTTAAATTGTTATTTTGGTCTTTAACTCCCTCTTTTCTGTTTATTTTTATGGAATTTCTAATAGACCGGGTTAAAATGAAATTAATTTAAAATATTAAAAGTGAAATGAGAGGTTATAAAATTTTAAAAGCAAAGTGAGGATGATCTTAATTTTGAGGGTATGAGTGACAGTAATCTTAAAAATTTCGACATTAATATATGTAATAGTGATTGATTTGGTTAGTTCCCTCAAAAAATATATATATATATATATATTTATATATTTGGTCATAATTTGCACTGACGTTCCCAATTGGATAAATATTGCATTAACATTAATAATATAGGGAGTTGATTGTCTAAATAAAAAATTTAAACTAAAGTGGTGTTACTAAACAAGTTACTAAACAACTAAAAAATTATTGTATCAATTATCTCTTTATTTATGGCTGGACAATATATTTATTACAGGGGGTTTATATTGTCTAATTGTAGAAAAATAATAATAAAGGAAAAAATAAAAGAAAGAAAGAAAGATCATATTGCGGGAGCGCCCACCTCTTTTGATGTAGCCCCGTGTCGACTTGATTTTTTTTTTTTTTTTTTTGATAATTTTCGACTTGATTCTTTGTCTAACGTTGCTAATTGCTACATCATACCTTTTTTGGCTGTTCAATTTTATCTCATTTAGTTTCTATATTTTGAACTCATAATTCTTATTCGTTATAGTATTTTTTATCTTATAAAAAATTTAAATTTAAAAATTTTCTCACAAAATTTTCGTCAATAAATAAAAATCTAAATAAGCGTGAACCAAACATACCCTCAATTCTTTTTGAACGTACTAAATTTGTTCACAGCACTTACAAAAGGAAAATTTTTAAAAATACCTATTAAATGGAGTACCTTTTTATTTTTGCTTCTTAACGTTAGTCTATATATTTCTACATTTTAATTAGAACTAGTTAAGGAGTAGAGTTGTTTAAAATGAGTATTTTTAATAAGTCATATACTTAAAAATGTAAAATCGGTGACTTTCTCCTTATAAAAATTGAAAAAATAGAGAATTTACCCTTTAAGAGTGTATAAGTCTGAACTTTTATCTCTTACTCTTAATAAATATTCTTTTATTAGTGTAATTATTTAACTAAAAATTTTATGAATCAAGAATAAAAAGTAAAAATTACGACTCATATACTTAAAAACTATTTTTCAAGATTACCTTACAAAATTACATGCTTCAATTACAGCCCAATTTTATGTGCCTTCTAGCAAAAAGATAAATAAAAAAGTGCTTGCATAAAAAAATTATAAAAAAGGATGGGGGAGAAAGAAAGGGAAAACCCAAATTTTTATTCAAATTAAAAGGAGATATATAATACATGTAATTTATTCTTCAAAATCACTTAATTTGTAACCTGCTTTCAGCATTTTCTTTCGTTCGATCAATAACATATATAGAATTCTCTAAAGTGTATCCTGCTTTCATATCTCTTGTTATTATGATTGAAAAGTTATAAAATAAAGCCAAGATTCAAGGACTACTACTGAAGAAGCTTGAGCCCCTTTTTTTCTTACATTTGCACCCATAACATTTATTAATGTCCCCACCAAATAATAATTTACATTTATTATAATTGTATCTTGTACTAAAATTATATTGAAACCTACTAAGTTATCCCCATAATAATTATAAATATCAAATATTATGAATATTATTCTTTCCAAAAAAAAAAATGAAAATGCATTCACCCACATCTTTAATTAACGCTATTTTAATTTCATGAACCTAAAATTTTTCTCCATCAAACTCAATTCAAAATTTTAATGGAGGTTTCAATTATATATATATATCTAGTGTTAAATTGGTGTAATTTTCGTTGAACATTTTTTTAATTCATTTGATCTATTTTAAGAATTTGTGAACAGATTATTTTATTTTATAAATCAAATAAAAATTAAACTAATACGAATGGGGTATGAAAGAGTTAAATTAAGTATTATAAAAATAATATATGTTAAAAGATAAAATTTTCAAATCTTTTTTAAAATGTATTAATTATTAGGGGCATCAATAAATTTTACGGGTGTAAATATAATTACTCATTCCTCTTTTTTTTTTTTTCTTGCATAAAGAAGCCTACCTCAAGCTCAAACGATTATAAGATGGCTCTCTCGAAAATAAAATACTAATAATAACTACGTTGTTCTTAAATAAAAAAAATAAATAAACGAAGAATAAACTATGGTTCATTGAGCTACCAAGCTTTAATCTAGAAATGTTAAAATGAGCTGCGCCTAACGGACAGCACAAGCACAATATGATTGTTTGATGGGCCTTGAGTTGATCTGTTCATAAAATGGGCCGGACTTGATGCGGGTTTTAAGCATGAAGTCTGCAAAAGACATGAAATGAGCGAGCAAAATAAGAGGGGGAAAGGAGACAATTATCTCTTAAAAGTGAATATGTCAAGATTTTTACTATTTATTTTTAATTAATAATATTTTTAATCAAATAAATGTATTAACAAAAGGGTATTAATTCAGAATGACGGGTAAAAATTTAAATATATATGCACTCTTAAGAATAAATTATGTAATTTTCTCAAATAAAGAAAGAGGCAACATCATTTTTTTTGAAAGGTGAAGCAACATCATTTTATTAGATACATACATATTTAATGAAGGTAATTTTTAAGTAATATTCTTTGTTCTGTTAATTCTTTACTGAGTTTAATATCTCTTTGTCTTGTTTGTGTCACAAATTTTTTTTTTTTTGGTGACTCATAATAAGAGCATGAACTTACTATGAATTAACTGTTGTAAATGCAATTATTTCTGAAAAATTGACCACTTAGTGCTTAACCACAACCCATTATTTTCATAAATGCTGGTGATTAAGTATGAAAAATGTATGGAGTCAGCTTGAAGAGTAAAGTAGAAAGGCCGCATAAATGAATTTGAAAAACTGAATACAAGTATACAACAATATACACAAAGACCATTAAGATTAATCAGGTGTCAATAAATGGTCGTGATGCGTAATTTTTTTCCAATCCAAATTCCTCGAGGCTGCAGCTCGAAATGTATACTTACCTTGGCCCATTTTTGCACGATTTCAGGCCTTAAAGTGTACAATCTATACAAGCCATGTAAAATAGCGTTACTGCCAACAGCTTGATTACAGATTCTGTGGAATATGTGATGCGGAAAAAGTTCTTGCAGGGAATTTCAAGCCATGCCATATATTTAAAAAGCGATCTATAATCCATCTTACTAAAAGGTTGTTTTTTTAGAACGAAACTCGAGTTACAACTTTATTCAAATTTAAATTTTTTTATAAAATTTGAGTTTAGAGCTAAACTCGAGTTTAAGTTCCTTTCAATTCAAGTTTATAAATTCAAACTCAAATTAATGAACAATATTTTTTCTATTCTTAAAAATGTCATAACTTTTTCATTTTAATTTTGATTGAAATGATTTTTTTTTCTATGCATTCAAAACGAAAAGATGAATAAAACCACACCCATATATCCTATTAAAATTTTTCATCACCATTGAGTTTTTATTAAAATACTATCTAAATACAAATTTAAGTTTTGACCTACCCAAACACAAATTCAAAAAGATTCTCAATTCAAATCATAATTGAAATGTGCACATCCAAACACAAACTTAAGTTACAATTTCAACTCAAGTTATAACTTAAACTCAACTCAAGATCATCACTCAAGTCACCATAATTCAAAAATGTAAAAGAACAACCCCTAAATGTCTTGCAGTAGCCACAAATGACCTCTAGATACTCTACCATTGCTATCGTTGAGAATAGTGTTTTAGAAGTATAAAATGTAATAGAATTTTTATTATTAATTTAATAAAAGAATTTATTCATTATATTAAGTGCATAAATTATTAAATATTTTATGAATATCATTAAAATTTTAATGATTATTTATGTGACATTAAATATTATATATAAATGTTATATGTGAGGATAATATTCAAGGATAATAATCGAAACGATATTCGTAATAAATTTAATTAAAGTTCAGAATCTTTAATTAAAAAATTACTAATACATGTCATTTTCATTTAAAATAGAACGGTGCTATCCGCACTGTTAATATTGAGGGATATTGGATCATTAAAAATTTCATGATTATTTATGTGACATTAAATATTATATATAAATGTTATATGTGAGAGGATAATATTCAAGGATAATAATCGAAACGATATTCGTAATAAATTTAATTAAAGTTCAGAATCTTTAATTAAAAAATTACTAATACATGTCATTTTCATTTAAAATAGAACGGTGCTATCCGCACTGTTAATATTGAGGGATATTGGATGAGTATATTACATATAATGTGATTATGTGGAATCAGGACACATATATGATTTGAATTTCAGATAATTTTCGTTAAGTATAGATAATCAAATCGAGTTTACGGATTGTCATATATATAACGATCTCAATCCTGAGTTATTAGCACAATCCCATTTATGAATTTATGTCTTTTAATTTACTCAGTACGGATTTCAATATTCTAAATCATATTCCTTGTATCTTAGAGACATGATGAAGTCGGTAGCTAGGAATGTTAATATACGAGATGGAACCAATTCATTCTTGAATAAAGAAGTAAATAAATAATTCTCTTGAGGGTTGATTCGGTACTTGAAAAACTAA